TGCTCACGTGCTTGTTGTCATCAGGGCTAAGTATGTGTGTGTGTGTGTGTGTGTGTGTGTGTGTGTTAGAGAGAGTGACTGTGTTCATATGTTATGTGTTGCAAACAAGCATTTTGTCACGTGGGTATGTTAATGTTTATGTCAGATGTGAGTGTGCGTGTGCATAAACATTTAAGATTATCATCATGTGTTTGTGTTGATGTTTCCGTGGCGATCTCCTCTCTGTTTGTGTCTCATGGCTGAAGTGTCGTGCCCTCAGGCAGTGACGCAGACTGATGATGTCACAGAATGCTGCTCACCGACCCCCTGTGTTCTCTGTGCAGCCGTGTGTGTGTGTGTTTATGTCTGTATATGAGCGAGAAAGTGAAGGCACATGGATTGTTTCATATGTGTTTGTCATATGCAAAAATGTGTGTGCAGCGTATATACCCATATGAATGTTTATTCATGTGTGCATGATTAGCTTTGTGTGCTGTGTGTGTGTTTGTATGTGTGTCTGTGTGTTCTGGCTTGTGCTTGTTTGCCCTCATCCTGAACTTTTCACAGCCATGCGTGCTGTTACTACTGATAAGGGAAAAATAAGGGAAATCTTTTAATTTATTTATTAATTGTATGTGTCTGTGTGTGTGTTTATTCATATATATATATATATATATAATTCATATATATAATTATTACATTGTCATTGCACTGCTGGCGTCAGATGTTTGGAAATGCAACATGAACACCCAAGTTTTTTTTGCTTTTTTATGTATATTAACTAGCAAATTCAGTGTTAGTTATACTGTGTTATCAGTATATTTACTGTATATATATATATATATATATATGTTATTTATAAGACCTATATGGATGTATCTGTGTGTTTTACAGTGGTCACTCTTTACTCTACTCTGGGTGGTCCTGCTATTGCTCATGGACTCAATGAAGCTGAAGTTTCTCACATCATCACCAGCAAAGAACTTCTGGAAACCAAACTCAAGGTGATCAAACACTCAAAACACTCAAACTGGTTTTAGTCACATCAAACAAATATTTAATATGACTAACAAAAGATGTATCTAGCATCTGATATAATTGAAAATATACACCAGTTTGAAAGTGTTTGCAAAAAAAGAAGTCTCTTCTGCTCACCAAGGCTGCATTTATTTGATCAAAAATACAATAAAAACGAAAATATTGTAAAATATTATTACAATTTAAAATAACTGTTTTATATAGCAATATATTTTAAAATGTAATTTATTTCTGCGATAAAAAACGCTGAATTTTCAGCATCATTACTCCAGTCTTCAGTGTCACATGATCTTCAGAAATCATTCTAGTATAAGACACTTCTTTCAAAAACCTTAACAAATTATTTGGCCAGTAGTGCGTATATAATTTACTGTATATGTTGCTTGCAAAGGAGAAAGATGGTGTAACCTTGACCCTTTAAATCTAATGGGCAAGGAAAAATAAAAACAATAATATCACAGTCTACTTTTCATAATCCAACCAAATCCCAATGGATTAACCATGCCCCTCCTACTGAATATTATATTTTGCTTTGAAATGCATCAATTGTTTTTGATTGATGCAAATGCAACAAAAAGTTGTTTCAACCCATTAAAAGCTTATTTCTTCTGTTGAACACAAAAGAAGATATTCTGGAAAAAAAAAATGATGGTCCCCATTGACTTCCATAATATTATTTTCCATACTATGGAAGTCAAGGGGGACCATCAACTGTTTGGTTATCTATATTCTTCAAAATATCTTCTTTTATGTTCAACAGAAAAAAGAAACTCATACAGGTTTGGAATAACCTGAGGGTGAGTAAATGATGACCGGATTTTTATTTTTGGGTGAACTATCCCTTTAAATACATGCACTAATGTTTTTCTGCTTGTATTTTGACACAGAATATTTTGCTAGAGGTGCCGAGATTGCGGCACATCATCGTTGTGGACGATAAACTCAAGAGCGGCTCTGAATACCCACGAGGCATCAGTGTCCACAGCATGGCGGCTGTGAAGAGGCTGGGGGCCCATCCTGAGAATGGTACTAGTGTGTATATGTGTGTGTGTGTTTGAGGTCGCTTCAGGTCATGTGAATGAGAAATCCTCCATCTGTGTCAAATTAAGGCCAGGGTCGAGGGCGTCCCTGACTCTTTCACTCCGCCATTTACTTCCTCCATTATAGCTCTCTGTGAAGCAGGACTGACCTTCAACAGCTGGTAGTAGTAGTCGTTTACACACTGGATAGTGTGTATGTGTGTGTGTGTGTTGGGTCATGTTTTCTCACACTGCCACAGACTTCACATGACATCGAGCTGATCTTCCTCCTTCAGCTCGACATGACATTCGATCTGTTCCGAGTCAGTGTGCTAATGCTAAATCACGTTGTGCCTCAAAATGCACAAATGTACACACTCGAATTCCCATGTTCCACATTTACGGTTCTGAAATCTTGGAACTGTTTAAATGGCACTCTGGTTTTCAAAGCTAAAACGTCCTGTTCTGCTACTGACATACGGCGCCCACTTCCTGTTCTTATCTTATTCATTCATTCGCACATAAGACTATATTTTTACTTTTATAGTCTTTATCAATGTACTTCAAACAACTATAAATTAAAGTTTACAACTTATCCTCCCCTCATCTCCAGTGTTATGGGTGTTTTGCCAATAGTAGCATCATTTGCCTTCATTTAATCTTGTTCTAAACCAGGGTTGCTATTGTTAACTAAAATGTTGTTTTCGTTAATTGAAATAAAACTGAAATAAACTAAAATTTAAATAAACATAAATAAAAAAAAACTTAAATTAAAAAAACTTGAATTATTTAAAAAATGAAAAATAGAAATGTTGCCATGGCAACAGACTAAAATAAAAAAACTTAGTTGAAGTACTATGGTTAAAACATTAAAAAAACATAAAAACATTTTTAATGTTAATAAATCTTAACTATTCTTTAAAAATAAATAAAAATGACAAAAGCACCACAAAAATACTAAAACTAAAATTTAAATATAATAATAAAAACTAATTCTAAATATTAATAAAACCCATATGAGGTTAATCCGTGAACCACACAAGTTCATGCTGCTCTCTCTGTAGAATGAACAAAAATAACAAAAGCACCATAAACGTGTCATGAATGTATTTCAGTTTTCACTGAATATACTTTCATTGTACAGAAAACATCTCCTTTTGTTTTGAACAGAAAATTTTATATTTGAATGAACTATTCTTTTAAGAAAACAGATCAGAGCTCATTGTCTGTCAAATGTGTCTTATTGGATCGTAATATTTCTGTCTTAAATATCTTTAGTTTCTATTTTAAATATAAAAATATGAATAAAAATGTAAATAATATTTAAAAAAACGATATATATATATATGTGTGTGTGTGTGTGTGTGTATAGAAAATTTTGTGTACATTATTAGAAGCTGACATTGCTTAAAAAAATTTAAATAAATAAAAATTCTTTAAAAAAAAACAACAACATTACTGCAGTCAGATTAAAAATTGCGATTTCCAGAACTGGAAAATACATAGAAATGAATAAAAAGTCAGGAAAATGTAGTGTAGTGAATATACATGTTTCAAGTAATTTTTAATTGGCTTGAATCCTCTATTAAATGGATTTTGAGGTTTAAAAATGAATCACAAATGATAGAAAAAGTCATGGAAATTCATCTGTCAAAGGGTGTTGGAACTTTGTATTAATATATTAAAAACTGAGTATATTCTGAATAAAACACTGAAATAACAAATTTGCCTCCATCCATGTATTTTTTATTTTGCTATAAGTTTTTGAAGGTAAACTAAGTAAAAAAGCTCTGTGACGTCACAATGAAACACTCTCATGTGTGATTTCACAATTGCACAATAATGAGATGAAAGCACTGCTCTATGATGTCCAAATATCCCCCAGCGACTTAAGACTGCTTTTGTGCTCCAGGGTCACAAATAAGCATTCAGGAGATCAAAGCACTGTTCAGTCACAGTGAAGCATTGACTAGTTCAAATTGAATTGCTAGTGGTTAATAGAGAAATCCCTTAATATTTAATAGAATGTAATTTGTAGTAACTCCGGCCTACTTCTGTCCACAGTGTCGAGGCAGAGACGGCCTCCGTGTGCGTCTGATGTGGCTGTGATCATGTACACCAGCGGCTCCACCGGCATGCCAAAAGGAGTCATGATCTCTCACAGTAATATTATTTCTGGAATCACCGGCATGGCTGAGAGAATTCCCAACCTCGGGTATGAAACACATCCACACATACTGTACACGCTACCATCCTGACATCTGTCGTCATTCACTAATGTGTTTGTGGATATCGTATGCTTATCAGTGCTTCCTAGAAAACCAGTCATTCCCTATGGATGAAGTAAACAGAGTGAGAAAAAACTGTGACAATTATGGGTCTGTGGGGATTTCTGTGCCACGCTCTGTATATTATATATGTCATGTGTATTTTATACATGACATATGCATGCTGTTTTTACAAATCTTGTGAACTCAGCAAGAAAATACAGTGAAAATGCAACTAAAACATCAAAACAATTCTGTGTTTTTCTGTCAATATGGGGTGCTGTGTGTACATTAATAAGGAAAAAAAATTAACTTAAATGATTTTAGCAAATGGCTGCAATATAACAAAGAGTGAAAAATTTAAGGGGGTCTGAATACTTTCCGTACCCACTGTAAATATGATCTTCTTGAAAATTAAGTTTCCGGTTGGTAAGATATTTGAATGTTTTCTTACGATATTTTCTTATTTCAGTGTCACATGATCTTCAGAAATCATTCTAATATGCTGATTTACTGCTCGAGAAACATTTATGTTTATTATCAATGTTGAAAACAGTTGTGCTGCTGAATATTTTTGTGAAAACTGTGATGCATTTATTTTTCAGGATTCTTTGATGAATAAAATGTTTGAAATATAAATCTTTTGTAACATTTTAAATGTCTTTACTGTCACTTTTGATCAGTGTAAAACATCCTTGCTGGATTAAAGTATTTCTTTAAAAAAAAAAATTCATAATGATCAAGTAAATACTAAGTAAAAATCAGAAAAAAACACTATTTTATATATATTATGTATATTTTCTGTTACACTTGCATGTTTTATGCACGATGCATGAAACAGGCCTGATAATTAACAGAATAGTATAGTATAATGTTTTCTTTTTCCTTGTATGATATTTGTGTGACACAGCCAGTTGATGAATGTGTTTTTGCAGTGAGGATGACACATACATTGGCTACCTTCCACTGGCTCACGTGTTGGAGTTGAGCGCTGAGATGGTGTGTTTGGCTAACGGCTGCAGAATCGGCTACTCTTCACTACAAACACTCGCAGACCAGGTACAACACACACAGTTTTGTTCATGTTTACTGCGTACATTCTAGAAATCAAAACACTGGCCTACACTGTATAAAAAGATTTTTTGAAGTTGTAAATAAAACTGATTTTTGGAGTATGTTTTACAAGAAAATACTATTTTGTTGTTTTGTTTTTTTAAAATAAAGAACAAAAAAATGAAAAAGATAAATATAGATAAAGTAGAATTATAATAGAATAGAAAGTGTTAGAGTTAGAGGGTCAAATAAAGGTGGAACAGATGTGTTTTTAGTCGTTTCTTGAAGATGGGTAAGGATCTTCAAGATCCTGTATGTAAATTTTACATACATAAATTTACATTTATGTATGTAAATACATACATAAATGCTGTATGTATTTACAGCATAGTTAACACAGTGATGTCAGTATCAAGCATTTAATGTCAAATAATGTCAGTGGAAAATGCTGAAACAACAGCAGTACGTAATGGAAAAATGTGCAGTGCTGTGGGAGTTTCATTTTGTTTGCAATTGTGTTGAGACAAATTAAAACGTTTCTATTAATCATTTTTACTTTATAGTCCACCAAGATAAAGAAGGGAAGCAAAGGAGACACTAGCGTCCTGCGGCCCACTTTAATGGCAGCAGTACCAGTAAGACTGAATCTCTCTCTCTCTCTCTGGGATTTTGAGGTTGAATGTCAGCGAATGTGATTGTCCAGAATGATTTACAGCTGTAAACAGAACGTGAGAAAGCCCGGTGTGGATATCCTTCTGAAAGTAGTGACTCACACACTGTAGATACACAATTAATAATGTTTAATTTCTAGATTTTCTTTGCCGGAGGACACTGTAAATGCACACACACACACACACACACACACACACACACATTGTCATGGTGTGGTTGCACACGAGGGTCCCAGCGGACGGATAACGACACAGAACAGCAAACTTCCATAAACACAGCGGCTGAGAGCAGTGGGAGAACATCCGATTCATAAGGCAGCTTTGAAAAATAATACTCAGAAAGGTCTTCTCCACCCTCCCATGTCACATGAGATGTGATGAAATGTGAAGTGGAAAAATGTCAGCAGTAACTCAATTAGAATCAGCATCCACTTCCCTTGCATAACAATACTGTGGTGATACCAGATGATAATGCAGTGGTGCTTTGATTATGTACCATTGTGCTGAATGATTACCATATTCATGGTGCTTCAAGGTTTTTCAGACTTTTTTGTGGTACATTTTGTGGTTTTTCTCTCTGTGAGAAAAGGTAATTGCTTCTGTGCCCACGTGAAGTCAAGGGGTCGTTTTTGTGATGTCATTTCCTTTCTTATGTTTTCCTTATGCATGTTGATTATACCTCAATGACTTTGATTTGGTTGACAAAAGTTAAAATATATTATTAATAATTATATATGTATGTGTATATATATATATATATATATATATATGTTCATTTATATAAATAGATGTATTAGATAATTTAAAAGAAATTGGACAAATGTAATAAATACATTTAATAAATTTAATGTTGGTGACAAAACTATTTTATAATGTATGCATTTGTAAATATAATTATCCTGTATTATATATACATACTACATGTATAGATTATAAATGTATAATTTAAATGTATTTTATTAAATGTATTAAAATAACATGCTTAATTCAATTATAAATTGAAATTATGTATTTATTTACTTATATCCACTTAGGTAATATTAATAAATATAATAAAGAATATGAATAAATATTTTATATTTGTATCTTTTTATTTAAATGTTTTAAGTATATTATAATTTAGTATAATCAATTTGACTATTTTATATTGTATATATTGATTAAATATAGTTAGTGTGTATGTGCATATATATATATATATATATACGTGTGTGTGTGTGCATATATATATATATATATATGATGTCTGGCAACAAGATAATTTTATTCAGAAATCTGTTTTTACTGTATTTTTAATCAAATAAATGCAGCCTTGGTGATCAGATGAGGCTTCTTTACAAAGCATTAAAAAATCTTACTGCACCCAAATTTTTGAACAGTAGTGTATTCAAATGGTAATTATTTTATATAGACAGGTATCTTATTTAAAACAATGGGAAAGTAATTTATTTTGTTTCATAAAAATTGTGTTTTTGGTGCATTTTCACTATATGGACAGTTTGTAAATATAACTGATGTTATATATTTAAGTATACTGTACTGAATGTAGTTTTCTGAAACTTTGTATTGTATTATAAAAAAAGTGTTTTATAGTTTTATAAATGTATATACAGTATACAGTATATATATACAGTATATAATAACGCACGACAACTACAGATCATTAAAACAAAGATTTAATATGTACTTTAAAGTAAAACTTTAAATTTGACATTATTATAAGGTGTGTTTAATTGCATTATGAAATGTATTTATGAAAGTGTCTCTGTTTAAGTACGCTTAAGTGGCCTTTTACTTCATTATTACTATTTGCAAGTACAGTTTTTATAAAATATTCTTTCAAGATTTGAAGTACACTACAAGTGCACATTCAATACAAATAAGCACACTTCTTCTTCACAAGAGTGCAGTCTATACACATTTTCTGCCAATTTTTTTATGTTTCAACCACAACTGTTCATGGAAACAGCCCCAGAACTGTGACTGGTCCCTTTACATGTCAATCTCTTCCTGTCTAAGTAAGCAGTTCTCGGCCAGAAGCTGCAATGTGGATCAAATCATATGTCGTTATGTCAAAGGTTTGACTATACAAGACTAAAATAACACTGACTTGTGGCTTAATAACCTCTGAGCTCATGGTAGGTCTGGAACCCTGTGTGCTTTATAAAGTTTAGTCCGTTTCCCATTTCTTTTTTTTGTTTGTCATAATGCATTCTGTGTGTATCCAGGTGGATATCGCAGCACAGACCGGCCCTGTCCACGAGGGGAGATTCTGGTCGGTGGGCCCAACGTAACAATGGGTTACTACAAGAACAAAGAGAAGAACACTGAGGATTTCTTCGTGGATAAGAAAGGCCAGCGGTGGTTCTGCACCGGCGACATCGGAGAGTTTCATGGAGACGGCTGTCTGAAGATTATCGGTGAGAGGGATTAGCCAGATCATCGTAAAGACAGGACTTTTTGGCAGGAGTGAGCGAATGGAAGTCTCCTCTCCTTTACGATAAAACGCTTCAGTCCTGTACTTCCTGTAAATGACACATCTCACTGTCAACTTATTCCCGTAAGAACAGCGATAAGAACTCAAAGAAAGCAGGATACACTCCAAAAGGGAGAGAAAGAGAAACTTCCTGTAGCACAAACTCACATACACATCTGATGAATTATGGTTAATATTTGCATATGTGTGTGTGTGTGTGTTTGCATATTAGACCGCAAGAAAGATCTGGTGAAGCTTCAAGCGGGAGAATACGTGTCTCTGGGCAAAGTGGAGGCCGTCTTGAAAAACTGCGCACTTGTCGACAACATCTGTGCCTATGCCAACAGGTGCCCAAACAAAGCACAACCTGTACTGCACTAACAAAAACACCCTCAACATGTGTTACAGTACTAACAATGAAAACTGACTTAAGAGGTTATTAAAATCCCTTCTATATTTCACACACAATGGCATTAATGTTAATGCTAAATTCACTCTGGTGATATCTAAAGCTCTTTATTCTATATCCCAGAAGGCATTTTGGTCAGATGTCAACAGCTGCAGATATACAGCAGGGTCACCAAATCCGACAATGCAGCATTAGAGATTACTGAAATCCATTCCCCCTCTAACTTCCATACTTAATTATGGTTTAATTAATAGTTAAATAATAGTTTTAATTAGGATGGAAAAATGTAAACAAATATCTCCTGTGATTTAGCGAGCTGTCATTACGTTTTGGATGAGAATGAGTCTATCGATAGAGATTTTGCTATATCGACATATATAAATAGAATTTTCATGTAAGAATTTATCTTAAAATCTTAAATATTCATATTTTTTAAAATATGCAATTAAAAATAATCTTAAACACCATTTTTAAATATAAAAATATTTTGTTATATTTTTAAAAACGTGTATTTAAATAACTATTTTATATATTAATTTATAATAAAATCTAACAAAAATAAATTATAATAAAACACTCAAAAACATCTTAAATATAAACATTTAAAAATATTTTAAAAATGTCAATTTAAATATTTTAAAGTAAATAAAATACATATAATACATTTATTTCAAACAGAAAAAGAGAAAATCATTCACTGCTCTTAACTGAATTATTTTAGTAGATTTAATAAGGATCAATGTATATTTAATTAATTCAGCGAAAACTGAGTAGTGTTTTATTTGTTACATTTGATTATTTAATTTATGTATTATTGCTGCTTTTAAATAGACCTGTACATAAAAACCTAAAGCACTGTTAATTTCATTTATCTTTCTTATATTTTATTTATTTGCATTTTTTCTTATTTTTTTAATAACAAAGATTAAATAAATACGAATAACTATGTCATGATTTATATCGTTAACGTGAAATAAATACTCATGTCATGAAATAAAAATATGGTCACATCACCCACCCCTAACACAACACATTTATAGTCAACTCTGCTGAATTTTAGTCCCTCCTCTTCCTGTTTTCCAGTGAAGAGTCTTACGTGATTGGCTTTGTGGTGCCCAATCAGAAGCAGCTGCTGGCGCTGGCTGAGAGGAAGTGTGTCAGAGGTTTGTGGGAGGAGCTTTGTAACAACCCCATCATCGAGGAGGAAGTGCTTAAAGTCATCACAGAAACGGCACTTACAGGTGAAACAGTTTTGGATCAGCATACTATCATAGCCTACTACTCATACTATTTCTGCTGTATCTACAGGGTTTCTGGGGGTCTTAAAGCATCTTAATTCACCCTTCCACAAATTAAGGCCTTAAAAAGGTCTTAAAGTGGAGCAGAAAGTCCTAACTTTATAAAATCATGGCATTAAATCTTGCATATATTGCAGAAAATCTTCCTCAGAATTTTTGTCTTGTATTCCAATACAAATATCTAAGATACATTTACTTTACTTAAGATGCAAAATTAAGATATAAAGTCTCGTTTTTGGAGAAACCGAACAAAATGAAGTGAGTTTATGCTTAAAGCACTGCGCATTAGGCATGGGCCGGTATGAGATTTTGACGATATGATATCCTTAAGCAAAAATATCACGGTATTGTGGTTACAGCTCTAAAATGTGTTATTTTTAAATGACTGGGTAATCAAACAAAAAAAAAAACGTTTTTCCGCTGAACACAATATATTTTGTTTTTGAGCAACATACAGAATATTAGGAACAGTAGAATTTGTTTATTTTTCTTTGATTTGTTTCCTAAAAAGAAGAAAAATAAAGACTGACATCTTTATTTAACCTAAATCTGTAATTACAGTTATTTAATTTAAATCCTAATGGAACATGTCCCAAAACACACTAAAGAAAACCATTTTTTAATGGTTAAAAGTTGATGGTTTGTAATGTTTGCAATGATTATTTGTAGTGGAAACCATAAAAATTTTCTGTGATGGTTTTATTGTATCTTTATTTGTACGTTTTCTGAGAGGAGTACCTTTTCTCACGCTGACTGTCATCCGAAGCGCACGCATAAAAACTTCCGACAGCGCGATCCCGATACATATACACATATACGCAGAATTACAGTATTTAAGTATTCATGCAAACATAATCTGTTATGTCTTAAGTGAACGTTTGGGGAACTGTTGGGGAAAAACATCTGATGTGTAACATTAAATAAGATCCGTGCATTACAGTAGGTCTTAATATACTGTATCGGCCGTCTGTCTCATTAATGTTAATCTAACAATAAAAGAAAGGGAATCACTCGCTGCTCTTGATCAAACTGCTTTTGTAGTTTTAATAATCAATTTATTTGTAATGAACACACTAAAGGGATTTTTACATTTAATTGTTTGTTTTTCTTACTTGAATGCTTTAGGTTAGATGTCAAATTAAAAAGGTAATTTTTCTTATATTTGTTCTGTTTTTTTTTTGCATCTGTTCTTATTTATAATAACAAATATAAAATAAAAAATTGCTATATTGTGACTAATACAGTAATTATTATTAAGAAAAGAACTAGAGGAAAAGATGCAACGTTCAGGTGATTTTGCTTTGGAACCTTAACTCGATTTTTCTCAAAATTGACTTTGCTGACTCGATCAACTTCAAACGGGTGTAGCTCAGTCATTTTTCATCCGATTCCAACAAATCATACATCATTTTGAAGGTCTATCAGAATGAAAATTAAAATAATTCATTTTTGAAAAATTGCTTATTGTGACTCATTTTGCCAGCACAGTTCACAAATATCTGTCAGTGGGATAAGAAAACTTGTTTTCCTTTTGAATTTAAATTTTTAATAAACTCACTTCATTTTGATCCGTTTCTCAGTAATTCAAGTCTTAAGCTAATTACTTATTTCAATTTTATTTTATTTTTTGTCAAATTAATTTAAAAATAATGAAGATCTGTTGGAAGTTGTATTTTAAACTTTGAAGTGTTGCATATACAACTAATTTCTGCTCCCTAGACATTTACATTTCGAGAACTTATTGACATACCATATTCCCTTATTTCTTAAATTTTCTTTACTTTGTCTTTAAATGTTTTAATTTACATTCATAAAACTTGCAGAAACGATGTACAGCACACCATATGCAAGTTTATCTATTAAATGTACCAATAAAATCATATTGGCCACAATATTATCATTTAAGCTTGAAATGTTACTTGTATTCCTATGGAAGAAAGTATATATCATGCACATTTGTTGTGCTTCCTGTTTTACCACTCTTTAGTTTAGCTGATTCATTTCCTGTTCCTGTGTATTTAACAGCCCAGTTAGAAAGATTCGAGATCCCACGGAAGATCTGCCTGAGCGTTGAGCCCTGGACCCCAGAGACTGGCCTGGTTACAGACGCTTTTAAACTCAAACGAAAGGAGCTCAAAACTCACTACCAGAACGACATTGAGAGGATGTACGGTGCCAAACAGAGCCAAACCACTACTCATTCCAGACAAAACCACAGGACAGGCAAGAAAAAGTAACTTATCTCACCATAGCAACCTCCAATCAAGATTTCCAATGGACATTACAGACGTGAACATAATCGTTTGGAAATGTTTTCATACAGTGTGATGACCAACACTCACAACCAGCAATACTTAAAGGTGCCAAAACTGATGTTAGCCTTGCTAACTTCTTCCAGACTTAGCTGCTAAATTAGGGATCCCTCCATCCCTTCCCTCCCCAAAACCTCGCCATGTCAGCAAATCAGAAGTGAAATAACTGACAAGCAAAAAGGTTCAGTGCTGTAAATGGATAGTTACATGCACCCAAATAATCCAATAATAATGGCTCAATCAGACTGAAAAGCCTTCGTGTAAACACCTCGATTGAGCCAGCAGAGCTTGATCCAAATGACATTTCAATCTGATTGAAACCTGAAAAAATCTGTCCAATAGTTAAGATGCAGAGAAGTGTTTTACGTCATACAAACGTGTGTGTTTATTTTCATCTCACGTTTAATGAACTGGTCAGTGGAGGAGAATGAATAAGTACAAAATATTTGCAAAAAAAAAAGTTTAGATATGTCATCAAGGCAAAAACTGCAATTATGCTCGCAGTAGCTCAGGAGAAAACGTTGGATTGGATTTCAAACCAATTGACGAAAATGAATGCATGTAAACATACCCAATATGTGATTTCTCAGGACATTGTATGCATGTTATTACCCAAAAAAGCTTTGTCATGGCTTGAAATACTTCCCATGATGCTTTGGATCTCCAAAATGTTGCTGGACAAACCAAATCAAAGATTCCCAGATTCCAGAAGCCAGTTTCACAGTTTCACAGTCTCGCTCTGTGTCACTCTGAACTGTCACAGTTCTTGTTCTGCCCCATACACAAACAATGCTTCGTGGGATATGTTTTTCTAAGCTCACGTTCTCATTGAAACTTTTAGTTTCAAACAAATACAACTTGTAATGAAACTCTTCCAACATCAGTTTACATCAGCCAATTTCTGTCCAAACACATCAGGAATCTTAAAGCCATTATTTTGCTTTTTTTTTTCAATCTTTCCATAACCTTCTTCATTTAATACTGTCAGGAGACCAATGAAAAAAATCAAGAGAAATCAAATCTCTTTACTCATTACTATATCTTAAATTAATGTTGCAATAATTAGCTTTATTTAATGTAAGAATGTGCTCATTGGACAGTATGAAATCCCTAAAGCATTTCTGCTCATTGGATGATTCTGATTGATGTTCTAGGACTGGAATGTTCCTATTGGGTGACTTTATATCCTGCTGGACAGGATAATAGATCTAGTATAATTATACTAATACAAACCATTCAACCAGGTTCTTTAAACATTTTGAACTGAATTAACTCATTTCAGGCAGGTTTTCCACTATTCGTATTCATTTTGGAGCTTGTTTAAGATCAAAGTTTGGCTGGTTAGCTTAACTAATCTGACAGCCGTTTTAGGTAGGTGTGGCTGACTCTTAACTTTTATAAAGAATATCTCTTTGGATTTGAGACTTTAGTCTTTGCAACTTTACAGATCTTCTTTATGCACCAAGAGCTTGTAACACTCCAAAGAGAAAGGAAAACTTGAAATCGCATCATATGACCCCTTTAAAACAGTGAATCTTTCAAATCGCGGTATACCTTGAAACCGGTAATCGGCCCATGCCTACTGCGCATTATAACCAATCCCATACGATTTTGTTGAGCTTATGAATGCAAGGACCAATCAGAGGCGTTCAGATGAGTCACTGCTGAAACATGCTGTTTCGTCACCGCGCACGCTGGCTGACTGAATTCTCTGTCTAATTCTCTCATCAGAAACAACAAAGTGAAGATGCATGAATGTAAGTAAGATATTAATTTCACAGTGACATAATCTATAAAGGTGCAAAATGCATTTACTTACACATATTTGAGAATCGAGATATTTCATGATATATTTTGAGAATATTTTGAATAAAAATAAAAAAATTAATAAAACCTGCTGAAAAAAACAATAGACATCATTACAAAATTTGCAATGGTTTTACTGGTTATAATGGGACTTGTATTGGTTTTACTGGAAACTGTAATGGACCCTGTTGGTCTCTACTGGTAATTGGTTGCCTTCTATAGGTGGCTTGTTAAAACCAATAAATCCTAATGGAATATGTCCCAAAACACACTAAAGAAAACCATTTTTTAATGGTTTTAATGGTTAAAAGTTGATGGTTTGTAATGTTTGCAATGATTATTTGTAGTGGAAACCATTAAAATTTTCTGTGATGGTTTTTTTCCAGTAGGGACATAAGCCTATATCAGTTATACAGTTGCTACACGTTTAATTGCAACATATAATTATTGCTGTTAATAGTGTTCATTCATCATCTGTTTGATTACGTCATTAACTGAATTTTACGGTACATTTCTAATTTCTAATAATATGTACATTACATTTTACGGTACATTTCACCACTGACAAGCTACTACTAAATATACTGTAGAAACTTAATTTTCTGTAAAGCTGCTTTGCAACGATTTGTATCATGAAAAGCGCTATACAAATAAACTTGAATTTAATTGAATTATACAGTGGTATTGTGGCTGCTCTGTGTCACATGACAATCCCCCTCACTTGTGCCCCCTCAAAAATAATGAGTGCATGATGCCCCTGACACTACAATACAAAATTATTTGTCAAATAAATGAAAATTCGTTTTAGTTGAAATTGTTATAGATTACTTCTAGAGATTGCAGTGGTACATGACATCATGAAAAATGACTGAATGAATAATACTTAAAGTAGGTTAAGATGAATTTTAAAATTGTGCCCCCTAAAAGCACAAGTGGCCCCTGTCTGGCCCCCTCCAGTTACTTTGGTCTAGAACCGCCCCTGGCAACACTGCGCACTTGGACTCCATTAAACGTCAAAAGAATGTGGCTGTGAGCTCAAGCGTCTCTGGCCGGGACTCAAATCCTGTGAGGAAGGACGTGAGGATCTCGACTCCCTCAACCTCTGTCACAGATCCTCCTGGCGCGTGGCCACGCATGGGGTCCGCTATTTAAACCGGACTCAGCTGACAACCCCGTTACAAGCCAGAGAGACTCGAAGAAAAGCGAGGAACGGGCCGACGCGCTCCAGGGTGAAACATCCCGGTGAGTAACAACAACTTTAATGGAAAGTACTATAAAGTCATGAACGGCCATAAAACAACTATTGTAAACAAATATTTAAAGCTTAAAATGTGTACTTGCAAACATAAATAAGTCTTTTTAAATAATGTCTAAATATTGGAGTGAAGTAGGCTATTAATGTTAATACATTTATTATAGTGATTTTTTTTCTTTGATGTCAGTTTAAATTGTTAACATACTTTACTTTTTAATTTATTTTTTACAGATTTTTATTTATTCCTCTCATTATTATTATGCCTATTATTTTCTATATTTTTATGATTATGCCTATCTATATTTTTACAGACTTTTATTTATTCTTAAATCTCATTATTGTTATCATCATCATTGCCACTAATACTACTATATAATTTAAAGGACTACGTTTTTAGCTAACTTCCTCTGTTATTTTACAGACAACTCTGTTTCTGTTACTGTCGTAATGGAGTTGGCGCGCAACGCCTCCGCGCTTTCGTCGCAGCAGACCAACCGAATCGCCTTGCCCGGTGGAAGCGACAGTAACGCGTATTTGTACATCCTCATCGTAGTGTCTTTCTACGGAGTCTTCCTCGTTGGCATCATGCTCGGTTACCTGCGCACCAAACGGCGCGAGAAGAGGCGCACGAACGCGTTCACGCGGCTTCTGCACGAGGAGGAGCAGCGCGAGTGGGGCGCGAGCCAGAAGAAGCACAGTTTCAGCCTCCCCGCGTTTCCCGCCCTGCGCTCCACGCCGGTGCCGTTCATGCTGACCGGCCACGCGCTGGAAGGCGGGAGGGTCCTCGCGCCTCTGGCGTGCGCGCTGTGCTCGGTGGAACAGAGCAGCGTCAGCTCCCTCAGCTCCGTCGTGGATGTGCGCTTCGCCATCGAAGAGGAGTCGGACAGCGGCGGACACGAGGATCCACAGGAGCACAACAGTGACGGACCATCCGGGGAAAACCTCAAAGCGCTCTGAGGTTCCCGCTGCAAACCGTTACCATGGCAACCATAGTTCCCGCCGAAACGCAGTAATTACAGTTAATGGTACTACAGATAAAACTGTTTTAAGTTGGTACAAGCCACCGTTGTAATAAAAAACAATTAAAGAACGTTTCTGAACTTCTTGTACTGTTTTAAGAAATTCCTGTGTTAATTTATTGAGGTTTTACGGTTGTAAATAACTGTAGTAACTTGGCGGGAACTGTGGTTAACGTTATGAAAGTTCTCTAAAGTGCCTTGATGGAAAGTATGAACTCTTACGCCAGTAACAGATTTTTACACAAGCACATAACTTGCGATATAAATCGGATTTGACACATCTTGGAATACAATGATGCACGAAATTCAACTTGTGTTACTAGAAGTGTATTTCCTTGCATACTTGTGTGAAGTATGTTTCAGGCCTTAAACGCGGTGTAAACACTGCCAAACATTGCGATAAACCTGGAAGTCACTTGAAAAAAATAAACTTTTTAAAAAATAATTTTACTCAATAAAGGCCTATATCGCCATTCACACAGACGTGTAAAATGGTTTACAAAATGTAAAATTAGTATGTTAAATGATCTGTATATTTTGTTCTACAGGCATGGATATGTCTGTTTAAAGTTTACCTTATTTCATGTGTAAACTAAATAAAATGTTCCTTCAGAATGTGAAGGTTTTGTGGCTGTTTATGTTTGCACTTACCGATATTGCCACTTGGGGGAGTCAAAGACCACCGGGGCTTCTCCAGGGAATGTTTCTCATAGATTAGGGTTTTTGAAGCTTTATAGACCTAGACTAGGAACCTAAAATGGTAACACTTTAAGACATAAGCATTCAGAAATGTAATTAAAGGTTTCCAAGAAAATTATTTTAGATATATTCTCCACTGGCCCGAGGGACTGAAACTCAGTTCTTATAGATTCAATTAGACATTCTGAACCCCTTTGCAGATGAGAAAAGATTGTGTGAGGCCTCCTGGCGTCATTGTAGAGATGAAGATCTTTCAAGCATCCACTCCTGAAACATTTTTCATTCTATTATTCCCCTTGAGAATAGGCTAGATGTTCATTCAGGGACAGGGGGTTTTCAATATTTCATGATTTTGTGCTTCTACACAGACCTGGATTATTATAATTATAACCAGAATCCTTCATAATCATCATCCTCGCAGTCTTTGTTGTCCTAATGAAATGACATCTCATGCACAAGTGTCAGTGACCCGTCTTCCGCCCCCGAGAGTGCAGTGGAAAGTTCTCGCATGTTCCGTCTGAGTGGCTCTTTTCCAATAAAAATGTCCTCAGTTTATCTAATGTGAGTTGGACGCAGTATTAGGAAAGTTTTTGAAGTAAAATATTCAGCTTATGACACCGATGTCACCTCAAATGAGAGATGACCTGTTCTTCCTGCTTTTTAAAGTAAAAAGAGTAAAAAGTTATCTCATGCACAAGTGTCAGTGACCCGTCTTCCGCCCCCGAGAGTGCAGTGGAAAGTTCTCGCATGTTCCGTCTGAGTGGCTCTTTTCCAATAAAAATGTCCTCAGTTTATCTAATGTGAGTTGGACGCAGTATTAGGAACGTTTTTGAAGTAAAATATTCCATTTTTGACACCAATGTCACCTCAAATGAGAGATGACCTGTTCTTCCTGCTTTTTAGAGTAAAAAGTGAAACCCAACTGTTGCTTTGGTGAACTGAAAAACATTTCATCTTGATTTTAGAGTTACATAAAACACAATGATACATAATGAATAAAACTTCCAAACAAAAAACTGCATGTGAATAATTTACTGAATCATTTTTGCCCTATCAAAGATCATGAATTATAAACCATGTCATGAGAATCAGATTTTATCTGCAAACAATATACAAATTAAAAGCTTATACGTGCAGTCACCTCTAGCTGTCTCTGTTTATGGCCCAACTTGTGCTCCCAGACAGATTCATTTTGATTAAATGATTGCGACTGTGTGAAAGACTAAAGGAGGGAGTCAGAAGAGAGGTTAGTGTGACTCGTACTCCCTGCAGAGCAAATGAAAGGCACTTCCTCCCTCTCTATGGTTCTGTAACATGTATGGCATGAATGGAGCGTTCAGGATCAGTTTTATTAGCTACTTCTGTGCTACTGCAGTAACTGTTGTTAACAGGACAGCGGTAACTGACCTGGGAACAGCTCTTTTATGATGCATTTATCATCCAACATTTTTGCTAACAGTATGGTCTGGCTCAGCATACAATGAAAGTAAAGGGAACTTCAGCTGTCAAAAAGGCTGTAAAAGTAGTTAATTAGCACTGTATTCCATGTCTTCTGAACTCATATAATAGCATTGTGGAACAAACTGAAATTTATTTAGCCTACTGAAAATTCACATTCACATAGCTATTTAAACTTCAGTCTCACTCAGTCAGCTACGATGCAAAAGATATCTGACGAATTAACCGGATTAATAGGTGAAAGGCAAAGTATTTTAAGTGTTCCTAGCACAAAGTTATCGTGTGATTTCAGAGGACTTGAAAGTGCGCGAATCTTGTCATGTATGTTATTGTGCTAGCTTGGTTCGTTTCAGGTACTTGAACGTGTATTTTTAGCCCACGTGTGAACACTAGTTTCTACAAATGATCTCAGATCCCTTTAATGCGAACCGAAATGAAAACCAAGCTCAGACGTTTGATTTTCACATTCGCAAATTCCTAAGTTTCGGTCATTACTCTTTCCGTACAAATGACAATTAACACACGCTGCATGGCTGCTGTTGAAATACGGATGGGCGATACCCCTTATTTTGTTTTCGATACGATACCGATATTTTTCAAGGCAGTATCGTCGATATCGATACCGATTCGATACTTCTGCACTAAACTTTTAAATTATGAAATTTATTAAATTATTAAATTACTAAGAGTAAAATGGGTATTGAAAACCACTTAACTTTGTTTAAAACTCATTTTAACCTGTTTAATCCCAAATTTTTCCCAGACATGAAAATATCCAAATGATGCGTCATTAGTAACCCTTTGAAATAATCAATAATTTTTTATTTTTT